CCTGGGATGGGCGACGACGGCACGCAGGAGATTATCCAGGCGGTTGGCAATGGCGATGAGCTGGTCCAGCGTGAGGTCCTCATCGTGACAGGCCAGCACGGTCTGGACGTCTACATGTAGCCCGCTGCAGAAAACCATCAACAGGGCCTGGTTGTTCCAGCCAGTGGACGCAGCCACCGTCCGGAAATCCAGAGTGTACTCAGACGCTGTCCTGGACCCCTGGCGCAGACGGAGGAGATGCTCACCTCCCTCTCGGCCCTCTGTTGGGTGGTCGAAAATGGCACGGAAGAGTTGGGTGAAGCGCTCATAGGACTGTACTTCTGGACCGTCCCTCTCCCAGATGACGTAGCCCACTCCAGAGCCCGGCCTGTCAGCACTGAAATCACCAAGGCCACCTTGTCCCTCTCGGAGGCCGTCCTGGCATGACGTGCAAGGTGGAGGTCACACTGCAGGAGAAACCCCCTACAGTGAGCTGGGGTGCCATCAAACCACTCTGGGAGGGGCAGGTGGACGTTGCTGATCGGACCGGGTGATGTAGATGGTGGTGGGGTGGCTGGAACGACTGTGAGGAGCTGGGAAGGTGGAGGTGTAGCCTGGAGTTAGCGTACGGTCCGGATCACCTCATCCATGGCAGTCCCGAGGTGCTCCAGGCACAGCGGAGAGGTCGGGATGTCCTGCTGCCTCCTGTTTTGTTGGGTCGGTCATTCTGTCACAAGTGTAGGCTGGAGGCAGTCGCAGGTTTAGAACTACTGCATTTATTAAAGCACCAGAGCTTAAAGCGGGACGAAACCCACAGTGCAAAATATAATGTACTCAGGAAATAGTAGGAGAGATTCCTCTCAGGAAAACAAGCAACATTTACAATGACAGACAAAGACAAATGACAGAGGGAGTATATATACAGTGATAGAGTAGGGATTGGAACCAGATGTGTGTAATGATGACGAGACAAGTCCAGGGTTGATGAGTGAAGGGCGTTTGCCAGCAGCAGGTTCGGCAGCAGCTAGAAGGCCGGCGACGCCGAACGCCTGAGCTGGACAGGAGGGGGAGCCAAAGCGAAGGCTGGTGTGACACTTGTTAAGCAAATCTTTACTCCCAAACTTATTTAGGCTTGCCATAACAAAGGGGTTGATACTTATTGACTCCAGACATTTCGAAAAGCATAATTCCACTTTGACATTATGAGGTATTGTGTGTAGGCCAGCGACAAAAAAATCTAAATTTAATCCATTTCAAATTCAGGCTGTAACACAACAAAATGTGGAAAAAGTCAAGGGGTGTGTATACTTTCTGAATGCACTGTACATGGCCTCAGTTCCTTGCCCTGAAAGATAGCTTTTATCCAACGTCCCATATCAGGAGATAGGACAAATGAGTATGTCCATGAATGAACGTATGAGGTCCACCCTAAGTACAGAATCAGTTAGAAACAGCAGTTAATTATCTCTCTCTCAGTCTAGTTGGTTACTGTAAAGCAGGGTTTCCCAAACTGGGGCCCCAGGACCGAGTTTGGGAAACCCTGCTTTAAAGGGACGGGAGTGCTGTATTGTTTTTAGCTCAGCAGTAGCTCCACTCTGTGGTAACTTTAAGCTGTTCCACTAGTCTGCGAAATCAAACCGACAGATCTGAAGATCCTGGTGGAAATTAAATGACCGTGGGAAAAGTGTTAAGTGGATGAGAGTGCCATAAATTGAAATATTTTATATATGTGTTATACAGGTCACTAGCCTCTGAAGGTTCTCTGTACGTAAACATGGACAGCACCCACCGTAGGTACTGGTTACATTTTTTATGAGATTTGATAGTGAGTCCTAGAAAAAAATTAGACTCCACTGGCATAAGCTGCTTTCAGTGAAGCACCATTGTTGATCCTTGCTCTCTGTCTGGCTCTGGTATGAGAATACGTAGGCTGTTTTTATGTGGTATCTAATTGTAATCTAAATAGAAAGATTGAGGTTCAAGTGAAAGAGGTGTTGGGAGTGAATGGGAAATGTTATTTGGTTATTTTTATTTATTTTTAGGGCTACTTCACATTTTGTATCCATGCCATGTGTCCCTATACTACTACTTCACTCAAGCCTTATCCCAGTCATGGCCATCCCATTGGTGGGGCTTGACAAACGGCAGTGTGTTTGGTAACAAGGCTGTGTCCCACAGTAAACTCTGACCAGACAGGACCATGTGTAGTTGGATGGAACGGGAAGGAGGGAGTCAATCTGCCAGACAGGTGGGACGTCAGAGAAAATAAAGAACAGCAAAAAAAGATTATGACTGAGGCATCATGGGAAAGGCTGTTGATCAGACTTTGATATTCATCTTTGCCTCCTCCTACCTGGCTTCCCTTACAGTCCTGTCTTCAACTCCACTGGACTGGTCAGTCTGTTCTGACCACAACTTTTACACACTTCTTTGTAATGGGTCATAAACACATCTGTGTAGTTTTTAAGCTTCACAAACCATGAATGATACATCAGAACAGTGTCCAAACACGGGAGCCATAGGATGGTGAGGTACTGTAAGTATGACTGTAAGAGAAATAACTCTCATTGGTCAGGAGGACAACACAAGGGGGAAGTGTGTTGGTTTGAGGGGAAATTTGGCACCACAGTCATACCTGACTCCTTCAAAAAGACGTCCAATAAGGGAACAGATTAACTGAATGGAAAAATTAGAGGAAAACCTTACAAGACACTTGTGATTACACTACATAATTTGCTAACACTGTGTTACAGTAGCTCAGAGAGGACAATAGAATGAGAAAAGGGACAGTCAGTTAGTTTTAGACTTAAGGTGGCATAGGTCTCAATGCATTTGTGGTTTGTAGAGAGATGGAAATGGCCACAGTCAATAATCCCCTCCTGTAATCCTCAGTAATTAGGATGAGGTGAGAGAGCATGTGGCTGACTCGAGACACATGGTGTCTATGTTAAGACTCCTCCTCTGATCCTCATGTCATCAGACAAACTGTGGGATGGAGAAGGGAAATGTACCGGCGTAGACGGGCATGTGTGGGAAACCTGGATCCACCTGTCACTCACTGTAAGGACACAGGAGAAGAGGTGGATGAGGAAGTGGCTGCTGTAACTTCACACAGTTGTTTGGTGGTGTACCATATATATATATATACACCTGGATACCTCAAGACAGAAACTACGGAGAATACATTTTCTGAGCGTTTTGAACATTATCTTCTCAAAAGAGAGAGTGTGAAACAACCAGTTGGATTTTTTAGGCAAGTGCATTCCTCAGGGATGGGTTTTTAAAGATTTTCTACTAGAGACAATTTCTACTAGAGACAGTTTTGAATAATTAATTGTAGATTATGTGTTCTTTATAATGATATGGCCTTCTAGAAATGTGCATTCTCTAGTTAACGATAATTGAACAGACCATAAGAAGTTGTTGACTGTTTGCTGTCATGGAGAGGCAATGCTTCAAGACATTCGACTGGATTTCAGTCTCTGCTCCGGACATCAAAGACAATGTAAAACAAATCTGATATTATAGTTGTTGTTTTTTCGCAAATAGAGTGTCTTTAATCTTACATAAGAGGATTTGGAACCCCAGGGACTTTGCTGATGTGTTTTACATCAGCATCTCTGAAACAACTGTCTCCCTGGGTGACACTATGTCCTCAGTGGTCCTCTGTTTTTCTGTTGGTTTCTCAACCCTCCATTTGTTCTTTAACAGTTTGCACCCTGATGTGGGGTCACTGGGGTCGCTGAAACATTTGCACTAATGTGAGGAAAGAAACAGTGGACTTTTTTTCTCAATTGGCTCAGCTGAACCTCTAGTGTGAGGATACATGTATCTGTGATGCATCTGTGATGCTTTATGCATCAGTAATACGTATATATCCAAAACTCAACATCTCTGAGGCTTATCCTCTTAAGAGAAAAACAACAAGAGTAGTTTCAGTGGCCAGGATGACAGGATTGCCTCATACAGGTGTGGCTGGATTTAAAGCCCAAACACGAGCCGCTGAAGTCCCACATGTGACTCAGGTTATTCTTAATGTGATGTTGCCTGATTTAACATTGTGTTCAGAAGGGCTTTCAGATGCTGATCCAGTTATTCAACACTGAAGGCACGTTGAGCTTGCTCAGCCACAACCTTTCCATTGCCATACACAGAGATTAAACGGGCAATCTGGGATTCAAATAACAACAAACCGGTTGTCCCGCCACTTTTTTGGTAAACAGCTGAGAGATGACGCTAGAGAAATGCAACCACTCTCAAAGAGATTAACCATCATGATCCATCACGGAGCCTTACGTTACGTTACCTTCAGTCAAATTGTCAATCATATCAGAGATGTGTTGTTGATCTACAGATCCTTCTAAAGGCCCATTGAATGGCTCTGTGGGTGTGCCCATAGAGATAGATAGAGGACTCTAGTGCCCAAAAGCTTGTTTTAGCGTGGGCAGTGCCATTGAGCACTTTCACCATTTTTAAGTAGTCAACTGGGTGGGACTTCCTATGAGTTAAGGAAGGATAACATAATTCCATCCACATCATCAGGAGGGATCAGCCAATGAATTATACTTGTGAGGAAACATTCCATAACTGCAGGTGGCAGTAAATTGACAACCTTGGCTTTATACCTGTTCGAACAACACACTCCAGGTGGCAATATGCACTCTTTCAGTTTGTTTACCAACTCATAGTAGTAGAAGAAGAAAATGGACTACTTCAAAATGGTGATGGCCTCAATGGTGCTGCCCATGCTCTCACAGATGCCATAATGGGACAGATTCAATGTTGCATCCTCTAACTATCTTTATGGGTGTGCCTCAACTTCAATGCTAACACAATGAACAAACTGGTCTGACCACTGATTTAGTTCCGTAGATCTCTAAGTGTGGGCCCATGCCAGACTGTGTTTCAGTCTCTGACCTTTGACCCCTCTGGTTCTGTTCCTCAGAGCTCCAGTTGTGATGTAGGCTGAGGGTCCAGTTCCGTCTCTTACACTCTGCATTCGGGTCTCTCTGAGCCACAAGATGACCACCATGAAGAACTCTGTGTCCGAGGACCCCCTCCTGGGCAAAGGACCTGATGAGGACGCCTCAGAGGTGTCTTTGTCAGGGAGTGAGTCGGACTCTGGGAGTGTCCTCTCAGATGACTCAGTGCTTCCAGACTACAAGCAGGAAGGTGGTTCACAGGGCACCGCCAACACGCTGTATGAGGCGTGTGCTCGGAACGACACCCTGGCGCTCCGGAAGGTTCTCGAGAGAGGGGTTACAAAAGAGGAGGTCATGAAGGTGGACCACAATGGCTGGGTATGGGTCTCCTGTTATTTCACATTTGGGATGCCTTTTGGTGGTGTATGATCCAGCGAGTCTGTATAAAGACACTGAATGCTTTCATTAAAGTCATGTAGAATTGGTTTTGGATTTAATTGCAGCCTTGACTCTATTGTAATGTGATTTTTGAAATATAATTCTAATCCTACTTATTCACCCAACAGACCGGTCTGATGGTGGCGTGCTATAAGGGTTTTTTGGAAATTGTGCAATATCTTCACCACTGTCCCTACCTGGACATAAATCACCAGGACAACGATGGCAACACAGCACTGATGATCGCTTCACAAGCAGGTTAGCCACTCTCACCAGACCTATTACTAAATACTACACAGTAAAACAAGCCTCACTAGCACATTTCTAGGTTGCGTCCCAAATGGCACCATAATTTGTTTACATCCCTGTTAGTGAGCATTTCTCCTTTGCCAAGATAATCCATCCACCTGAATGGGGGGGCAGACCAAGAAGCTGATTAAACAGCATGATCATTACACAGGTGCACCTTGTGCTGGGGACAATAAAAGGCCACTCTAAAATGGGGTAGATGTTGATACAGTTTAGAATGGGAAGGAAAGGCTAATATGGGGGTGTTTAGATTTCAGAAGCATGGTTATTGGAGAAAGGTCACTTGGCTTTTCAGGTCACTTGGTTTGTCATTTAAGTAGGGCTTTTAAAGGGGCTTAAGTAGATTGCCACGGGACCAAGAGCATTTCAATATTTTTATAGCCGTACTCTCCTGGGGTGGATTGTGATTGTCCACCAATGAACAAGACAGTCGAGAGAGAGAGGAAGTGAGATAGAAAGATGATGGATATCTACTGAACAAAAATATAAAACCAAAATGTTAGGTGTTGGTCCCATGTTTCATGAGCTGAAATAAAATATCCCAGAAATGTTCCATACGCACAAAAGGGTTATTTCGCTCAAATTTTTTTGCACACATTTATTAACATCCCTGTAAGTGAGCATTTCTCCTTTGCCAAGATAATCCATCCACCGGACAGGTGTGGCACATCAAGAAGCTGATTAAACAGCATGATCATTACACAGGTGCACCTTGTGCTGGGGACAATAAAAGGCCACTCTAAAATGTGCAGTTTTGTCACACAACACAATGCCACAGATGTCTCAAGTTTTGACGGAGCGTGCAATTGGCATGCTGACTGCAGGAATGTCCACCAGAGCTGTTGACAGAGAATTTAATATGAATTTCTCTATCATAAGCCGCCTCCAACGTCGTTCTAGAAAATTTGGCAGTACGTCCAACCGGTCTCACAACCGCAGACCACGTGTAACAACGCCAGCCCAGGACCTCCACATCTGGCTTTTTCACCAGCGGGATAGTCGGAGACCAGCCACCCAGACAGCTGATGAAACTGTGGGTTTGCACTACTGAAGAATTACTGCACAACATGTCAGAAACCGTCTCAGCGAAGCTCATCTGCATGCTCATCGTCCTCACCAGGGTCTTGACCTGACTGCAGTTCGGCGTCGTAACCGACTTCAGCGAGCAAATACTCACCTTCGATGGCCACTGGCACGCTGAAGAAGTGTGCTCTTCACAGATTAATACCGGTTTCAACTGTACTGGGCAGAAGGCAGATACCATGAATGGCGTCATGTGGGCGTGCGGTTTGCTGATGCCCCATGGTGGCGGTGGGGTTATGGTATGGGTAGGCATAAGCTACCGACAACGAACACAATTGCATTTTATCGATGGCAATTTGAATGCACAGAGATACTGTGACAAGATCCTGAGGCCCGTTGTCGTGCCATTCATCCACCGCCATCACCTCATGTTTCAGCATGATAATGCACGGCCCCATGTGGCAAGTATCTGTACACAATTCCTGGAAGCTGAAAATGTCCCAGTTCTTCTATGGCCTGCATACTCACCAGATATGTCACCCATTGAAGATGTTTGGGATGCTCTGGATTGAAGTGTATGACAGCATGTTCCAGTTCCCACCAATATCCAGCAACTTCGCACAGGCATTGAAGAAGAGTGGGACAACATTCCACAGGCCACAATCAACAGCCTGATCAACTCTATGCAAAGGAGATGTGTCACGCTGCATGAGGCAAATTGTGGTCACACCAGATACTGACTGGTTTTCTGAACCATGCTCCTACCTTTTTTTTAAGGTCTCTGTGACCAACAGATGCATATCTGTAATCCCAGTCATGTGAAATTCATTGATTAGGGCCTAATTAATTCATTTCAATTGACTGATTTCCTTATATGAACTGTAACTGAGTAACATTTTGAAATTGTTGCATGTTGTTTTTATATTTTTGTTCAGCGTACTTCAACAGAAGTGCCCTATATAGGAAATAGTGTGCCAATTGTGACAGGCCTTTAATCTTTTCAATGGCACCTCATGATCCCCTAAACCCATTCTCACCCTGTGTCCTTCTCCAGGACACACCATTACAGTGACCTACATCCTCAACTACTACCCCGGGGCAGACACAGAGATCCGGGACTGCCGTGGCTTCACTGCACTCATCAAAGCTGCCATGCAGGGCCGAGACGATGTGGTGTCTTCCCTCGTCATGGCCGGTGAGTGAGAGGCTTCCTCCACTTCAGCACTACTATACACACCCTACTGTATACACGAGGGAACATCTTAGAAGTGTTTAGACAACCAGACAAATAGATGTTAGAAGTACAAAAACGTAATCCTGACCCCAACCTACCAGTGTTTACTGGGTGTAAGCCTACATTATATGTTTGTGAACCGTTCACAATAGCAAATAGCTCACGTGTGTATTATCAGAGGCACCTCAGTGTTCGTAGTAAGCAGGGGAGGACTGGCCATCTGGCATTTCTGGCCAATGCCAGATGGGTTGGTACATTTTTAGCCAAGTGGGGCTGTGTAACTTGGGTTTTTTGCTAAAAATTATAATTATCCTTCTAATATGGGTGCCTCAAGGAAAAAAATGGGCCGATGTGGTGGGCCTCGAGGAAAAAAATGGGCCGGTGGGGGCATCAAGGAAAACAATGGGCTGGTGTGTTATAGATGCCAGGGCTGATTTCTGGTCCCCTGGTAGTAAGACACACAACAGTGCCATCTATTAGGTCCCGCTAGGTAAAATAATTAAATTACTTCAGAGATTCCAAAGGGCATACCTCTAAACAGATTTGGAAAAAAATACCAGAGAAGGAGAGAGGAGGAAGAGACAGTAGTACACACAGAATTATGGGATTAGCCTATGCTTTGATCCCCAGTCAGCAATGTTGCTGAATTGGCAATTATGGTCTTCATTAATTTCTGTTCAATTCGGGGCTTGGCATGAACATACAGATCGAAGGCCTAGGGTTATAGGAAGTATGTAGTAATGTAGTTGGGTTGGGATGGATGGATGTACCTGTGGTGTGTCTACCCATGTTTGCGGTCAGCTTTCTCTGGTTGATTGAATGTGTTTTTGACAGCTGCCAGGTTTAAGGGATCAATTTGGGGACATCAGCCTACCTTAATGCACTCTGCCATAATCTTTGATTCCTTCGTCTTGGTTGCCAGGGGATTATCCAGGGTTATTTAGCTATTTTGGCCTCTCTGGAAGAGCAGTAGTATCCAACGGAGTCACAGACTCTCACTGCCAGTTCACATTTATCAATATTCTAAAAGAGTTAAGGAAAACAAGCTCAGCTAACTGTAGCCTTATCCCCATCACCTTAAAGATAATTGATTCTCACCTCTATCCATCATAAACCAAGAAGAATCTTTGTTTTCTATTATTCATGTCGCACAATATCATCATTATGATATTATATTACAGGGCTACAGTGGGGAGAACAAGTATTTGATACACTGCCGATTTTGCAGGTTTTCCTACTTACAAAGCATGTAGAGGTCTGTAATTTTTATCATAGGTACACTTCAACTGTGAGAGACGGAATCTAAAACAAAAATCCAGAAAATCACATTGTATGATTTTTAAGTAATTAATTTGCATTTTATTGCATGACATAAGTATTTGATCACCTACCAACCAGTAAGAATTCCGGCTCTCACAGACCTGTTAGTTTTTCTTTAAGAAGCCCTCCTGTTCTCCACTCATTACCTGTATTAACTGCACCTGTTTGAACTCGTTACCTGTATAAAAGACACCTGTCCACACACTCAATCAAACAGACTCCAACCTCTCCACAATGGCCAAGACCAGAGAGCTGTGTAAGGACATCAGGGATACAATTGTAGACCTGCACAAGGCTGGGATGGGCTACAGGACAATAGGCAAGCAGCTTGGTGAGAAGGCAACAACTGTTGGCGCAATTATTAGAAAATGGAAGAAGTTCAAGATGACGGTCAATCACCCTCGGTCTGGGGCTCCATGCAAGATCTCACCTCGTGGGGCATCAATGATCATGAGGAAGGTGAGGGATCAGCCCAGAATTACACGGCAGGACCTGGTCAATGACCTGAAGAGAGCTGGGACCACAGTCTCAAAGAAAACCATTAGTAACACACTACGCCGTCATGGATTAAAATCCTGCAGCGCACGCAAGGTCCCCCTGCTCAAGCCAGCGCATGTCCAGGCCCGTCTGAAGTTTGCCAATGACCATCTGGATGATCCAGAGGAGGAATGGGAGAAGGTCATGTGGTCTGATGAGACAAAAATATAGCTTTTTGGTCTAAACTCCACTCGCCGTGTTTGGAGGAAGAAGAAGGATGAGTACAACCCCAAGAACACCATCCCAACTGTGAAGCATGGAGGTGGAAACATCATTCTTTGGGGATGCTTTTCTGTAAAGGGGACAGGACGACTGCACCGTATTGAGGGGAGGATGGATGGGGCCATGTATCGCGAGATCTTGGCCAACAACCTCCTTCCCTCAGTAAGAGCATTGAAGATGGGTCGTCGCTGGGTCTTCCAGCATGACAACGACCCGAAACACACAGCCAGGGCAACTAAGGAGTGGCTCCGTAAGAAGCATCTCAAGGTCCTGGAGTGGCCTAGCCAGTCTCCAGACCTGAACCCAATAGAAAATCTTTGGAGGGAGCTGAAAGTCCGTATTGCCCAGCGACACTGCTGCAGTGTGTGCAAACCTGGTCAAGACCTACAGGAAACGTATGATCTCTGTAATTGCAAACAAAGGTTTCTGTACCAAATATTAAGTTATGCTTTTCTGATGTATCAAATACTTATGTCATGCAATAAAATGCAAATGAATTACTTAAAAATCATACAATGTGATTTCCTGGATTTTTGTTTTAGATTCCGTCTCTCACAGTTGAAGTGTACCTATGATAAAAAATTACAGACCTCTACATGCTTTGTAAGTAGGAAAACCTGCAAAATCGGCAGTGTATCAAATACTTGTTCTCCCCACTGTATATGTAATGGAATATGAATAAAAGTGTTTCAATTGAGCAATTTTTTTCCTTCTCTGCTATTTTTCTCCCAGGTGCAGACCTAAATGCAATAGACACCACGAAGCAGAAGTGTGCGCGGGACTGGGCACTAAAGACGGGCCGCTACGAGACGTTGAACCGCCTTCGCCGCCTCAACCTGCGGCCTAAAGCTGAGCAGTTCACTGAGAGCTACGTCCCCGAGTGGCCAGAGCTGAAGGTGCTGGTGGCCAAGGCCATGGCCAACAAGAGCGCCAGCCAGAAGATCACTCAGCGCATCAAGTCCACCTTCGGCTTCAACTTTCCCCGAGACCCCCAGGAAAACGGGGTCTTGGACCACATGGTGCGTATCACCACCAGCGTCCACAGCCCTCTAGTGGCCACCAGCTGCAGGCCCCTCTGCCCCACCAGCCCCCCTGAGGTGGGGAAGAGGCGCCTGGCCGTGCAAGAGCTGGTGAAGAAGCATTCAGAGAAGGAGCTGGAGGAGGGCTCTGTGTGCCACAGCAACGGCTCCGTATCCTCCATCATTCCCCACATCCACTCGGCCGAGACCATCGCCACGTCCTGCTGTGTGGACACGGAGCGCAGGGGCAGCATAATCTCTATAGCCTCCACTGGGGTGCGCACCTTCATCCCCAGGCACATGGCCCACAGGAACAGTGTGTTCCCCTCCGGCTGCATCCCAAAGATCCAGATAGTCAAGTCTGGAGAGCCCACGCCTAAGAAGGAGAAGAAGAGGAAGAGGCACAAGGGTCATCTGGAGCCACCCATATGGAAGTACAAGGCGGAGAAGCAGGAGAAGAAGAAGGCAGAGAAAGAAAAAGAGAAGACCAAGAAGGAAAAGAAAGAGAAGAAAGTGAAGAAGTGAGGTGTCTAACGCTGCCAATTTATTTAAATTCCACGCACTTCCAATATCTTTTTCCTGGAGTTATACTTAAAACTTATGCCCGTTCACACTGTGAGCATGTCTTCATCTGAAATCAGAATTACTGCTCAGTATTAGAAGGGCTGAACTGTTTCCAGATCTCTAGATCTCGGTTATTTGGCCAATGCAGTAAAAGTTTTTCTTAAGGTCATCTCATTCATACTGCTTTATAAATATTCTGAAAACTGTTTTAGAAGCTTTCTTTGACTCTCTGTGGACAATGCTCTATATGGAAGTGACGTGAGTCAAACTCTCGCTTCTGAACTGAGATTGGGGGATGGATGAAACTAATATCCAGGGTCTGCCGATAATACAATGCTGTCTTCTTGTCTTATTGGCATGGGTGTCAATTAAGAAATACAATTTTGCTGTATCTAACATAAATGTACGACTCAGGGTTTACTGATTTACTATCACAAGGAACTTTCAATTGCCTTTGGTCTAATTCAACAGTGAAAGAGACAGTCTTCCTATACCGTCATCCTAGATGGCAATTTCTCTTTACATATAGGCCTACTGTATGTACAAGTTTATTTGGGAAAAGGATAGGCTTAGTCCTTTTCTGTAAATTCTCAATGGACTAAGAATAGATTTATGAAGACAGAAATTCTAGACACATAAACACATGTATACTAGGCCTACACCTCAGGGATAACTTAAATCAAATCACTGTGCTAAAATAATCATTTTTGCAAGAGTTTATAGGCATATGCAAGTGTGAAAATTATTTTGTAATGAATAATGATGATTTGCTGAATGCTTACAGTGCATTCGGAAAGTATTCAGACCTCTCTACTTTTTCCACACTTTGTTACGTTACAGCCTTATTCTAAAATGGATTAAATAATTTGCTCTCCTCATCAATATACACACAATAACCCATAATGACAAAGTGAAAACAGGTTTGTAGAAAATATAGCAGATGTATTAAAAATACCTTATTTACATACGCTACCGGTCAAAAGTTTTAGAACACCTACTCATTCAAGGGTTTTTCTTTATACTTTGCTATTTTCTACATTGTAGAATAATAGTGAAGACATCAAAACTATGAAATAACACATATGGAATCATGTAGTAACCAAAAAAGTGTTAAACAAATCAAAATATTTTTTATATTTGAGATTCTTCAAATAGCCACCATTTTCCTTGATGACAGCTTTGCACACTCTTGGCATTCTCTCAACCAGCTTCACCTGGAATGCTTTTCCAACAGTCTTGAAGGGGTTCCCACATTTGCAGAGCACTTGTTGGCTGCTTTTCCTTCACTCTGCGGTCCGACTCATCCCAAACCATCTCAATTTGGTTGAGGTCGGGGGATTGTGGAGGCCAGGTCATCTGATGCAGCACTCCATCACTCTCCTTCTTGGTAAAATAGCCCTTACACAGCCTGGAGGTGTGTTGGGTCATTGTCCTGTTAAAAAAACAAATGATAGTCCCACTAAGCCCAAAACAGATGGGATGGCGTATCGCTGCAGAATGCTGTGGTAGCCATGCTGGTTAAGCGTGCCTTGAATTCTAAATAAATCACAGACAGTGTTACCAGCAAAGCACCCCCACACCATAACACCTCCTCCTCCATGCTTTACGGTGGGAAATACACATGCAGAGATCATCTGTTCACCCACACCACGTCTCACAAAAACACGGCGGTTGGAACCAAAAATCTCCAATTTGGACTCCAGACCAAAGGACAAATTTCCACCGGTCTAATGTCCATTGCTCGTGTTTCTTGGTCCAAGCAAGTCTCTTCTTATTATTGGTGTCCTTTAGTAGTGGTTTCTTTGCAGCAATTCGACCATGAAGGCCTGATTCACACAGTCTCCTCTGAACAGTTGATGTTGAGATGTGTCTGTGACTTGAATTCTGTGAAGCATTTATTTGTTAACTCTGGGTCTTCCATTCCTGTGGCGGTCCACATGAGAGCCAGTTTCATCATAGCGCTTGATGGTTTTTGCAACTGCACTTGAAGAAACTTTCAAAGTTATTGAAATGTTCCATATTGACTGACCTTCATGTCTTAAAGTAATGATGGACTGTCATTTCTCTTTGCTTATTTGAGCTGTTCTTGCCAAGGTGTTATTTGAGCTGGACTTGGTATTTTACCAAATAGGGCTATATGCTGTATACCACCCATACCTTGTCACAACACAACTGATTGGCTCAAACACATTACGAAGGAAAGAAATTCCACAAATTAACTTTTAACAAGGCACACCTGTTAATTTGAATGCATTCCAGGTGACTACCTCATGAAGCTGGTTGAGAGAATGCCAAGAGTGTGCAAAGCTGTCATCAAGGCAAAGGGTGGCTACTTTGAAGAATCTCAAATATAAAATATATTTTGATTTGTTTAACACTTTTTTGGTTACTACATGATTCCATATGTGTTATTTCATAGTTTTGATGTCTTCACTATTATTCTACAATGTAGAAAATAGTACAAATAAAGAATAACCCTTGAATGAGTAGGTGTGTCCAAACTTTTGACTGGTACTGTATGTAAATGTTATATTTCCGGGGAGTTTTCAATCTAAATTTGCAAAAATGTCTAAAAACCTGTTTTTGCTTTGTCATTGTGGGGTATTGTGTGTAGATTAATGCGGGGGAAAAAATAATTTAATAAATTTTAGAATAAGGCTGTAACGTAACAAAAAGTGGAAAAAGTCAAGGGGTCTGAATACTTTCTGAATGCACTGTATGTAGAAAGAGAGGCACTTGTCACACCTTTGGGGGGTGTTGCAGTTGAACATTTCTGCTTACTGTATTTTTCAGTGTTTGGATGCCATATTCAAACAATAGCCATCTTCCTACTGATATAATAAATTGATTTTGTTGATAAATATGTTGGTCATTTTATGTTGTGATTTTATGAAAATTATTTGATTCTGTGCTGTTTACTGTGGTCCTGAAGCTATTTAAGACAACTTGGGACAACTTAAAGGAAAACGCCACCCAAAAACGAGCTTTTGGTATTTGTTTCATTAGTCCATTGTTGATATATTCTCAAAATGTTTTCAACTTTTCAAGATATGAAACTTTCAAAATACATACATCTCAGTCTGAGATGGGGAACAAAGTCAAAGGTAATGGGAAATTAGTTATGTCATACCATCATTAAGTATCTAAAAAAAATCTGATGGATGAGCCAGATATAATCATCCACTGGTGCAAAGTTGGCACCTACACTTTACCTCAAGCCTGCCACCAGAGGGCGACCTTGTTTCTCTTTTTACATTCCTCACTGCTTTACTAGAGATTTGCGCTTACTTAGTCTGGAAATATTACAATCAGGGTAAGTGAATACAAAATACTTTGAAGATCAGAGTGTAATACACAACACTAATGAGCTATAGCTAAACAATAAGCCAGTTGGTCTATCCAAAAAATAAGCCAATCTGGGGTTTGGAAATGTATTTGACATGAGGATAAAATAGGATGGTTATTGGTCACACTTACAAAAATGATACAACAAAAGAACACTAATGCATTGAAAACACATTGGCTCTTTGGATTGTACTTCACAGTTCTCTACTAAGAACTCGAACCCTTACATTTATATTTTTTAAGTCTTGCATTCTCCTATTCATCAGCCATACTGTCTTGCAGTTGGTCAGTATGGGGTTGAAGGCAGTGTTTGCTCTCTACCCTTGGCTCTGTGTAGGCTATGTGTAGGCCACCCACATAAAAACATACTACAGTTTACTATAGAATACTATAGTACTTACTATAGAATTCTTTAGTATTCTGTAGTTAACTTTGGTCAACTGTAGTATACTGTAGAATACTATACTACACTCTGTAGTATCCCTTGATCATGTGTAGTACTTACTATATAGAATGTTGTAGTATACTGTAGAATACTATACTGCAAACTGTAGTATCCCTCGATTCTGTAGTGCTTACTATATCATTTTGTAGTATACTATAGAATACTATACTACACACTGTAGTATCGCTCGACCATGTAGTGATTACTATAGAATTTTGTAGTAAACTGTAGAATTCTATACTCCACACTGTAGTATCCCTCGATCGTGTAGCGCATACTATAGCATTTTACTACAGTAAAGTACGCAAAAACACTACAGTAAATACTATAGTATACTACAGTCTTGTACGCAAAAACACTACAGTAAATACTACAGTATACTTCCGCAAAAACACTACAGTAAATACTATAGCATACTTCTGCAAAAAAACTACAGTGAATACTATAGTATATAAATATAGTAATACTACAGTATTTAGAGGATAGTATACTATCGTATTTTGTCTGGGGTATGGCTGTATATCTGTATGTATGGGATTCAGTGAACTTGAGAGAGATAATACCCCTTCAAAGCCTCCGCCTGTCTGGTCAGTCTGTCAGTCTGGCAACTGGGAGTTGACAGGGGGCCAGGGGCAGAGTGTTTTTAAGATTTGGGGGGATTATGCGCTGCCATGACGTACAGACCAATAACCCTAGAATTCAAAGGAGTTCAACCTATAAGCAAATACTTACAAATCTAATTCGTCTATAGTAGGCTCAATAATCATGGATGACTGATTTAATTAACCAAAGAGATTACAAAAGGTTATTTCCAGTAAATGGCTGCACTTTTCATTCTTTGAATGCTGGACACATGGAGAGTTATAAAGTAAAAGAAAGCTTCCTTCTATAAAAATAAAAAAAACAGAGAGAGAGATCACGAGTGCTTCACTGTGTTTGTCATCTAGATGGTAATCGTATTTTGGGTTCCAAGAGGCATGTTGGGAGGATACATACAGCAAGACAGAGTTGCATTGCTTTGAACACTTTACTGTTCTTTATGACTACACTAAATAGCCTAATGCTGAATACTTTCTATGAAGTGAAAAACTATTTTTGAATATGTGCAGCACAACATGTGCAATTGTGTGTGTGTGTGTGACAGACGGACGGACGGACAGACGGACGGACG